TTCCCTCCAGATGAGTTCGTGCAGCAGCCGTGCGTTGACCATCCTGTCCACAGTGTTTGGGGCCTGTGGTCTTCTGCTGGTGGGGGTCGCTGTGTCCACAGACTACTGGCTGATCATGGTGGAGGGCATCATCCTGCAGCAGAACCAGAGTATGGAGGTGAAGATGGCACTGCACTCAGGGCTGTGGAGAGTCTGCTTCATGGCTGGTATGTGAGAATATTTCAAGGTTCAGGATTTAGTTTAGAGGTCAGGGTTAGAACTCAGAGGACATGAGACATGGTGAGGACAGGAGTGTCTATGGGACAGACGGGGACAGAGGTCCAACAGGAGTCTCCGTCTCCTGAAGTCATACTGTATCTTCTGATGTTTGTTTCACATGGATTCTCACTTCCGGTTTTCCTCACAGGATCGGAGAACGGGAGGTGCGTGGCTTCGGAGTATTTCACTGAACCTGACGTAGAGATCACAACTGAAAACACAGCAAATATCCTCAGTGAGTAATTCCAATGATACAAGATCACAATGTTTTCTCTTATTGTTGTCTGTAGATACAAAGTTGTGTTGACAACTGCAACCAGACCACAGAAAAACAGAAAACACTAGTTAGTATTAAATTCTACACATATACTACAGTATACTGTAGTGTTATCTCTACAGTATTATAATTTTACATCTAATCCTATATTATTTATGGATATCTATAGAAAAAAGTTTTCGGCATGAAATGATTACATAGAAAGAGGATTAGAACCAAAATATTATTATATATCATATTTAATTTATTCTCTTTATTCTACACATGATATACAGTATACTGTATATTAGAAGAAAAATGTACAACTCCAGATTTTGGCGGTGTACGACAGAGGCGCTGTTTGCGGCTGTACTGCCCCACACTGTTGCTCGAATGAATTTCGAATAACCTAAAACAAAATAAACAGTAAAAATATAGTACAAAATCAGCTAAAAGTCATGGCTGGTGGTTTTGTTTACATGGAGGAGATGAACACAGCATTGATGATGCTCTCCTCTAGGGAGGGGTGATAACAGTGGGGGGAGGTTCATAAAGGGTTAATATATATACGTCAATAATATAATAACTATCTCACCTCTACTTCACGGATTTTCCCTTTTTAGCGTTGGTTTCTTGGAACGGAACTACCACGACAGTAAACAGTAGACAGTAGACCACTGTATAAATACATATACACATACAGTACATGTACACAGTCCCATGATTGTGTAGAAATCCAGGTCATTCACAAAATGATTAAACAACACTATATTGGGCTTCAGTTTCCTAGACCTAGAACTGTGTCGAACTGTCCCTGAACTCACCACAGCCTCAACCACTGGAGGATTATGATATTCTGTTCTCTTCATGTGGACAAATGCAGTGCATTTTTGAATCATGTCATGTTTGAAGAGTCTGTGTTCTTCCTTGTGTTCACCAGACGACTGTGGTCCATGAACCACATAAAGGTTTTTAAAACCAATTCATTTTTGAAGTTGAACCAGGGTTTTAATCGTTCTCTCAGTTCATTTGTCCTAACGTCATATTCTTCATCCTACAGAGATGGTGCGCACCGCCACTCCCTTCCCGATGGTGTCGCTACTGTTTGTTTTCACAGCCTTCGTCATCAGTAACATCGGACACATCCAGCCTCAGCGCACGATCCTGGCCTTTGTTTCCGGCATCTTCTTCATCCTCTCAGGTGAGCAGCGTGACTCTACAGTCGGATTGACACTGTAGTCAGTGTAGTCACTGTAGTCACTGTAGTCACTGTAGTCACTGTAGTCAGTGTAGTCAGGCTAGTCACTGTAGTCACTGTAGTCATTGTAGGCACTGTAGTCACTGTAGTCTCTGTAGTCATTGTAGTCCCGGTAGTCACTGTAGTCAGGCACTGTAGTCAGTGTGGTCATTGTAGTCACTTCAGTCACTGTAGGCAGTCCACTGTAGTCGCTGTAGTCACTGTAGTCCTTTTAGTCATTGTAGTCAGTCCACTGCAGTCACTGTAGTCATTGTAGTCCCGGTAGTCACTGTAGTCATTTTAGTCTTTTTAGTCACTGTAGTCACGGTAGTCAGTCCACTGCAGTCACTGTAGTCACGGTAGTCTCTGTAGTCACTTCAGTCACTGTAGGCAGTCCACTGTAGTCTGTGTAGTCACTTCAGTCACTGTAGGCAGTCCACTGTAGTCGCTGTAGTCAGTGTAGCCAGTGTAGTCACTGTAGCCCCTGTAGTCACTGTAGGCACTGTAGTCACTGTAGACACTGTAGTCAGTCAGGGTAGTCACTGTAGTCCCTTTAGTCACTGTAGTCTCTGTAGTCATTGTAGTCTCTGTAGTCATTGTAGTCACTTCAGTCACTGTAGTCTCTGTAGTCAGTGTAGTCTCTGTATTCAGTGTAGTCACTGTAGCCCCTGTAGTCAGTCACTGTAGACACTGTAGTCAGTCACTGTAGACACTGTAGTCAGTCACTGTAGACACTGTAGTCAGTCACTGTAGACACTGTAGTCAGTCAGTGTAGTCCCTGTAGTCTCTGTAGTCACTGTAGACACTGTAGTCAGTCACTGTAGACACTGTAGTCAGTCACTGTAGTCTCTGTAGTCATTGTAGTCAGTCCACTGTAGTGACTGTAGTCACTGTATTCACTGTAGTCTCTGTAGTCAGTGTGGTCACTGTAGTCTCTGTAGTCAGTCAGTGTAGTCACTGTAGCCATTGTAGTCACTGTACTCACTGTAGTCACTGAAGTCACTGTAGTCAGCCCACTGTAGTCACTGAAGTCACTGTAGTCATTGTAGGCACTGTAGTCACTGTATTCACTGTAGTCTCTGTAGTCATTGTAGGCACTGTAGTCACTGTAGCCATTGTAGTCACTGTAGGCACTGTAGTCACTGTAGCCACTTCAGTCACTGTAGGCAGTCCACTGTAGTCCTTGTAGTCACTGTAGTTAGTCACTGTAGTCTCTGTAGTCATTGTAGTCTCTGTAGTCACTTCAGTCACTGTAGGCAGTCCACTGTAGTCTGTGTAGTCTCTGTATTCAGTGTAGTCACTGTAGGCAGTCCACTGTAGTCTGTGTAGTCACTTCAGTCACTGTAGGCAGTCCACTGTAGTCACTGAAGTCACTGTAGTCATTTTAGTCTCTGTAGTCACTGTGGTCACTGTAGTCATTTTAGTCTTTTTAGTCACTTTAGTCCCTGTAGTCAGTGTAGCCAGTGTAGTCACTGTAGTTAGTCACTGTAGTCATTGTAGTCCCGGTAGTCACTGTAGTCAGTCACTTCAGTCACTGTAGTCAGTCCACTGTAGTCACTGTAGTCACTGTAGTCATTGTAGTCACTGTAGTCACTGTAGTCACTTCAGTCACTGTAGTCAGTCCACTGCAGTCACTGTAGTCACTGTAGTCATTGTAGTCACTGTAGTCACTGTAGTCACTTCAGTCACTGTAGTCAGCCCACTGTAGTCACTGTAGTCACTGTAGTCACTTCAGTCACTGTAGTCAGCCCACTGTAGTCACTGTAGTCACTGTAGTCATTGTAGTCACTGTAGTCACTGTAGTCACTTCAGTCACTGTAGTCAGCCCACTGTAGTCACTGTAGTCACTGTAGTCAGTCAGTGTAGTCACTGTAGTCCGTGTAGTCATTGTAGTCACTGTAGTCAGTCCACTGTAGTGACTGTAGTCACTGTAGTCACTTCAGTCACTGTAGTCAGCCCACTGTAGTCACTGTAGTCACTGTAGTCAGTCAGTGTAGTCACTGTAGTCAGTGTAGTCACTGTAGTCACTGTAGTCACTGTAGTCAGTCCATTGTAGTCACTGTAGTCACTGTAGTCACTGTAGTCACTTCAGTCACTGTAGTCAGTCCACTGTAGTGACTGTAGTCACTGTAGTCACTTCAGTCACTGTAGTCAGCCCACTGTAGTCACTGTAGTCACTGTAGTCACTGTAGTCACTTCAGTCACTGTAGTCAGCCCACTGTAGTCACTGTAGTCACTGTAGTCATTGTAGTCACTGTAGTCACTGTAGTCATTGTAGTCACTGTAGTCAGTCCACTGTAGTGACTGTAGTCACTGTAGTCACTTCAGTCACTGTAGTCAGCCCACTGTAGTCACTGTAGTCACTGTAGTCACTTCAGTCACTGTAGTCAGTCCACTGTAGTCACTGTAGTCATTGTAGTCACTGTAGTCAGTCCACTGTAGTCACTGAAGTCACTGTAGTCACTTCAGTCACTGTAGTCAGCCCACTGTAGTCACTGTAGTCACTGTAGTCACTTCAGTCACTGTAGTCAGTCCACTGCAGTCACTGTAGTCACTGTAGTCATTGTAGTCACTGTAGTCAGTCAGTGTAGTCATTGTAGTCACTGTAGTCTCTGTAGTCACTGTAGTCAGTCCACTGTAGTCTGGTACTCTATACTGCAGCCATTTCCTTCAGTATTACAGTATTAATATTGATGTACTCATTTCGTGCTTGTTTTACTGCGACTGGACCCACATGTATTTACTGTATATATTTTTCTGTACTACTACAATATTTTCATGTGTCTCTGGGTCTCTACTCCCAGTGTGCAGTTCTGACCGCCACAGTTTTTACAGTTGCTCTGCTGTGATTGGTCAGCCGTCGTCAGGACCTCTGACAGGCCTCAGGTGCCTTTGAATATTTTAGTCACAGGCTAAAAATACTCAGCTAATCATTGAGCCCACTGTGAGTGTTGACTGTGGGACACGCTCCAGATGTTGTGTACTTCACTGCACTCCACTCTTCCATATATATGTCTATATCTACACAGACTCCAGTGTGTGGTTAATTTAATATAAAGCTAACAGACTGGTAGTCTTTATCTTTATTTATAATTAATTTAGACTGAAAAACAGTGCAGTATAACAGTGTGTGTGTGTGCGCGCAGGCCTGAGCCTAGTGGTGGGCTTGGTGCTCTACATCTCCAGTATTAATGACGAGGTGATGAACCGTCCCAGGGAACCTGAACACTTCTTCAACTACTACTACGGCTGGTCCTTCGCCTTCGCAGCCTCGTCTTTCTTACTGAAAGAGGTGAGTCTGTGTGTGTGTGTGTTTGACTTTTTCGGTGTTAGGTGTTGGGTGGGGGGAGTGGGGTGGGGGACACACTTTTCCCTTTGGTTTTCCCGCTCTTTCCTGTTGCCTCCAAATCCATTTTTCTGTCTTTAAATTCAGTTTTACTCCTTGTCTCCCCCCTCCTTCCTCTCTGACTCTCAGGGGGCTGGGGTGATGTCTGTCTATTTGTTCATGAAGCGTTACGCTGAGGAGGAGATGTACCGCCCCCACCCTGCTCTCTACCACCCCCGCATGTCTGACAGCAGCGACTACAGCGGCCAGTTCCTCCACCCAGAATCCTCTTGGCCTCCACCAAAGCGAGGACGCAGCACGTCAGAGGCGTCCAGTGACATCTCCATACAGCTCAACCAGGCGCCCCCCCCCCCCACCAAAAGCAGCCTCCAGACCGGCGCCCGTGGAAGCCCACCCTCCGGGTCCTCATCTGCAGGAAGTTACCAAATGCCCACTCAGTCTGCGGGTTACCCCTCCTCTCACACCCTGCCCAGGTCACATCCCTCCCACCCTCAAGGCCCGCCTCCCCGCATGCCCCCATCACCTGTTCCTCCCCCACACTACCATGCACACGTGCAAATGAGCGCCTCCCCTTGTTAGAAAGAAGAAGTGCGTTGGAGAGAGCAGACAGAGACTCCTGAGGACAGAAACGAGGAGTTGACAAACGACGAGAAAAATATTCTTCATCACCACCGTGAGGGAGGGAGGGAGGGAGGGAGGGAGGGAGACACTGCAGAGTACTATGAAAATACTGCAGTACAGCAGGGAATGCGAAGGTACTTGAAAATGCACAAAGTCACAGGGAGATGACAGAGACTTTTTTACCTGAGTCTTTAACGATGACTCCAGTCTTATTTATTTATTTCAGATTAAAGGAGTGTAATAATAAAACCACATGTTATTTTTAAGACGAGGCCACACTTTATGTGAATGCTGTGAAACTGATGTATAAAATCACAATAACTTTATTTAACTTCATGGAGTCGCAGCAACTTCTGTATACAACTGTCAGTACTGACAGAATATCCACAAACTGTCAGTTCCGACAGTACAGTATTCTGATGACGCTTTGGCACAGCTCATACCCAGAATTGATGTGTGGGGAAAGTCAAAAAGTTCCTTTTTATCTACAGAAATTCCTTTAATGGTTCTTCAGTTTTGGGAAAAATGAAAAAGTTAAAACCAGTTAAAACCAGTTAAAATTCTAATAATTTAAACTGGTTTCTGTTCAGATTTGTTTAAAAATGTGTCTGTCGCTCTGATTTCAATAGATCATTCTTCCACTGGGTGGCAGCAGATGGTTGTGAAAATAAAAAAAGACACTCAGAGCTGTTGAAGAAGATCTTTGTGTATCTTTCTTCAAGTCCTGAGTCTTTATCAGTCATTTGTTCAACTAAACCGGGCCCAGTTCTCACACTGACTCAGTAAATTAAAACCAGAACATAAATATATTTCATTACATATATTTCAGTGCTGGTGGTCTCTCTGATGTTGAACCACTCCAGTATTCTGTCCTAGATATTTTCTATGCTCATAGAACAGTTAAACGCCCTCTGCTGGCCAGTATTCTGCACCCACACAGGACTAACCTTGGGTTACTGCTGGTCTCTTCAATGAGCGTATAGGTGCCCCACATGAGGTATCTAGAATATGGGCCACGTGAAGCTTAGACCACTGATGGTCAAAGAAGTTATTCATAACTACTACAAAAACTACTTATCTGTTTATGTTTGTGTCTGTGGGTCAGAATATTTGAGTTGAGTGTGTACTGAACATGTATGAAATACTTTAGTTGATGATACGCAGAGTACCTGTGGCAGCTGTTAGTAGCTGAACACCCCCTCCCCGCCCTCCTCCGGGACACACTGCAGTATTTAATTATTTCAAGTATATGCATCAAATATTTACATACATTTAAGATCAAACTTCTAGAACTGTCTTTTTTAAACTTTCCTTTCTTCCAAATCTTCCTTTTCTTCAAGTTGGCTCTTCCATGCATCAGCTTTCTGTAGCAGTACCTTCAAACGCCACGAGGTAGCAGTGTGCAGCATGTTGTAAATGCATTTAAATCAAATTAAAGCTCTTTTGTTTCAGCAGTGTGTTAGCGTTACTGTACAGAGTCACCGTAGTCTGCTCCTTGTCGCCACCTGCTGGGTTTGTTCTCACTGTAGTCTGACTGTCTTCATTCATTCATTGATTGATGTGATGGTCAGTGACGTCACTTGTGTATGCAGCTGTGCTCGTCCACTCAGCAGTCAGTTAGTTGAAGGGGGTCGAGTGCCTTGCTCAAGGACACCTCAGCTGTAAGAGGAAGAACAGTGTGTTGCACCTTGACCTTCTGGTTTGACCTTCTTCACGTTATACCTGATATTGACCTTTGACCTTTGAGAGTGTTCACACTGGCATATTTTATCATATCTCTCCACCTGTTGTTCGACTGTTCTTTATGTGTTGACAGACTGATTCAGTCAATAATCATTTGCTGCTTCTTGAACGCCTGTTTTTTTTGTCTGTTTTTCTTGCCCACGGATGTCACTGTACAGTAACATGGGGTTTGCACTGCGCCAGTGCCGATGGTTTGGGCACTGTTTTTAACTGTATGGACATCTGATGTTAACCCTCTCCGTGCTGGTCCACCACCGACTTATCATTGAACAGAACAGACCTGATCAAAATAAAATGGTTTTTAAAAATGACTTCCAACTGATCAAATCTTGGTAATGAATACAGCTGCAGAAATACTGCAGTATTTGCAGATTTTGTGGTAGAAAGTTTTGCAACTATATTAGACCAAAGTTTATCAGAAACTAAGAAAAGTTTCAAATATGACGATGGTTGCCCCGGGCGTTTGCCCCACACCCTCCTCAGTCACAGCTAACTGCAGCAGCCGCGGGGCAGCTACATTTGTTTGTTTGTTTGTTTGATATAACAGTCGTCCTGAGTGAAACTGTGACGTTGTCAACAACAACGACAACACTGTTTTCACCTGAAACGTGGCTTAAAGAGCAGTAGGAAATGAAGGAACGTTCCAGGACCTGAGGACCTGTTAGGAAACTAAGAAAATGCTTCTCAAACTTTGGTCCACATATCTTTGGTGGCTCCCTCCTGTGGTACATGGTGGTACATGGTTCTCATAATGTTCACATGAGTCACTTGGTTGTTTAATCATCGACATATTTATTATATATGTCATAAATATATATGAAGATAAAGGAGTGTTCCCTGCACAGCTCCACCTGGGGGTCGATGTTTAGAAATACAGCTTTTGCTGAGAATGTTGAGGGTGGGATTAGATTAGATTAGATTAGATTAGATTAGATTAGATTAGATTAGTAAGGAATATGTTGGTATTGGTTAGTGTTAGGATAAAGGGCTTAATGTGTGTGTGTTTTAGTGGCTCCATCCATTCACCGTCCCCATTACTGCCTGACACAGCTGTCACTCTGAATCAGCTTCTCATGGTCATGTGTGCTTGTGTGTGTGACTGCTCATGTTGTAGTATACTTGTGGGGACATGTTCTCAAAGAAAATGTCTGTCCACCAACACCGTGGTGAGAACTTCAGAAGAACTGGATAAGATATGAATTTATGTATTCCACTTTATTCTCATTTCTATTTATTGACATTACAACGAGGTAAACATTAGAATAATAAATAAATACAAATAGAACCAAACATTTATGATTACAGTGAATGACAGAGAGCAGCAGTGTAGACCTAGACCTTCAGTTCTGACGGAGCGGGATCATGGGAAGACATGGAGGATGTGTGTGTGTGTGTGTGTGTGTGTGCGCGCTACCCGACCCTTTGGGACGTCTCTATAGATCTGTGGGTCATATGATAAACAGGAAGATCAATCATCGTTACAGGGATGACGTCACACAATAAGCAATAACAAGATAAAAATGACACATTGTTGAACAACTGTATTGACCGCTGGATCTGACTGCATGACTCTCTCCCCCGCCCTCTCTCTCTCCCTCTCTGCCCCCCCCCCTACCCCCTCTCCATTTTATCTCTGCAGGGTTGCGCTATTGCTGCATTTCCCAGAACCACCTTTATCATAAGCATCATCATCATCATCATCATCATCATCATCATCCCACCGTTACAACAGAGAACAGCTGATGTACCGTTGGTGTATACACCGAGTCTCCACATAAATAACGGTCTCACTCACTCACACTCTCTCTCTCTCACACACACACACACACACTAGCTGCCGGTGGCTAACAGACTACTTACTAACCCGCAGCCCTGCGTTTGCTGCACACGCTCCAATAAGCACAGACCTATGACAGTTTCCTCACCGAGAGAGTGAAGGGGAGGGGTGAGGGGTGGGGGTGGGGGGTAACCTTCCTGTGATCACGGTGCATAGTTAATAAGAATTTCTTAAAAATCATTAAAAACCCTCCCGTGTCCACCCTGACATCACCCTCCACCGTCCGTGGGTGAGGAGGGTGAGGTGGGGATGCGACAAGTTGTTTGCGTCGGACTCAGGGTAGAGAGACAGACAGCAAGCGAGCCCTCGTCCAACCAGAGGAGGAGGGTGAGGGGTGGGGGAGGCGCGTCCTCGTTGATCACAGACTAATGCAGCGGCCACATCCACTGTAGCTACACTGCTACACTGCTACACTGCTGCTGCTCAGTGACAGTGACGGCTTTTCATTAGTTCTTTTAAAAATGAACGCCCGTTGAAGCCTTTCCATCACCGGTTAATTTGATTGAAAAAAACAAACCCACAAAACCAAACCGTCCCCGTGACTTTTTTACCTCTGTATATTCATCCTTTTTATTCAGCCCTCCTTTATTCATTCAGTTAATTCATTATCGTTGCCTCCATAGAGCCGCTTCCTTTTCAGATCACATCCGGCTGTCGTCCTCCTCCTCTCCTCCTCCTCCTCCTCTTCTTCTTCTACTTCTTCTTCTGTGACGCGCCGCTGAGATCCTGAGGCAGCAGGTAAGATCCATCTCTCCTTTCACACACTCGTGTTGTAAACGTTGCCACTCAGACCGCAGTGTCGTCTTGTTCCTGGGTCGGTGGTTGTTCGTGGGTCGGTGGATCTCCGTCGGTCCGCTGTCATCGATCTGTTTCACGGTGCCTGTAACTCGGTTCACTGCTGACGATGACAAAACCACGGCTGCAGGATTCACTGAGGTTGGACATTTAGACGGGGTTTGTCTGAGTCCAGTGGAACCGAGTCGTGGGTCGGACCTGACCGCCCTCCGTCCTCCAGTGTGTGCGGGGCCTACAGTGAACAGCGCGGTTACATAAATCAAAGCCTCCACGGAGCTCATCGTTCAAAGGCGTCCTGCGTCTGCAGGGTTCGGTACTGAACAAACAGGGTCAGGACTGAGTTGGACCCGGGTCCTGATGTGTACCGGTGTGGGTCTCAGTCAGCTGACTTTTCCCTGGACTGGACGATTGATCCTTGGCGACCATTTACCACCGTTGTTATCTATGCAGGTGGGGTGATGTGTGCGTGCGTGTGTGCAACTCTTGCTCATTTCAGTGCACTGCAGTAGCGCCTTCTTGGACTGCACATACAGTGAGACCACCGGGTCTGGTCACTCCAGGTGCGAACCTCTGAGACCACCGGGTCTGGTCACTCCACAGAAGAGTTAGTGTGCTGACTTACAGCACCATCAGCCAGTGTTGACCAGTGCTGTGTGTTCAGTCCTATTACATTAGTATATTTTACTGTTATATCACATTATATCACATGTTGTTGGAGTGGTGGAGCCCTGGTTAGGAAGTGAGTTGGGAGCATGGCTAAAATGAGGGTGAGGTCGTTTCCTCACCTCTATGATGGGTATGCTGTCTGTAGGTGTCTCCCGGCAGTGCAGTACCTTGTGCTGCCAGCAGGGGACAAGGTTTTGCTATCTGTGATTGTCATGTTGTCTCAACTTGTGAACGAGTTGTTGCCATAATATTTTACTCAAATCAAACCACCTAGCTTTGTTGATGTATTATGTGCGCCCCCTGCAGGACACTTGTTTTGGTCAAATGCCACCTCCTTCAGTCACGCCCTTGGTAGCTCACAAATACAAATAATACATTTTTATTGACATTAAATTCAACGTAAACATTTAACGATTTCCATGGATGTTTGGACCTGATGAAGGTGGAGGTTTTCTAATAACACTGAGGACCAGAGTGTATCATATCATAAAGAGACAATCTACCAGTGACCAGCAGACCTTTAAGGTCAAGCACCCTGCTGAAAATGACCTTGACCTTGATGGTGCAATCTCCATGGTCCGACCTCCATGGTCCAACCTCCATGGTCCAACCTCCATGGTCCAACCTCCATGGTCCAACCTCCATGGTCCAACCTCCATGGTCCAACCTCCATGGTCCAACCTCCATGGTCCAACCTCCATGGTCCAACCTCCATGGTCCGACTTCCATGGTCCGACCTTCATGGTCCAACCTCCATGGTCCAACCTCCATGGTCCGACTTCCATGGTCCAACCTCCATAACCTCCATGGTCCCATGGTCCAACCTCCATGGTCCAACCTCCATGGTCCGACTTCCATGGTCCAACCTCCATGGTCCTACCTCCATGGTCCTACCTTCATGGTCCAACCTGTCACATTGTATTTACAGGTTTTTGTCTCTAATTTGTTACAATCAGAGTGGTTCTAAATGTTCTCCTGCCTTTGATGCAGTGGTCTGAGTTCTGACATTTTGTCTGTGTCTACGAACAGTTCTATTGGCCAAGTATGAAAAGGTACCAGGAATCTGACTCCAGTTCTGCTGCTTTTCTCTCAGGAATGTCACGTCTCAGAGCTTGAGTAGACATTAGTATTAGCATTAGCATTAGCTTCCAACGTACATCATTCAGGAAAACTGTTGATGTTTGTAAAACCAAAGAAATTGAGTTTCAACCAAGAACTTTTTTTTCTTGCGAGTTTTTGTGTTTGTTCCAGGTGTTTTAGGATTAAAGATTAAATTTAGGGTTAGCTATAAAGTTATAGGAGCAGATGAAGAAAGTCTAATACTCAGATAGATTCAACTTTCCACTGAAATGAAAAAGCTGCTTCTGAATTTGGTGAAAATTGTTTTAATAATTGTTTGACAAAAACTGAAGGTTAGCATAGACACAGCTTAGGGTTAGCCAAACATCCGTTACAGCTCATTGTTATAGGAGAAAAAATGTATAGCTACCAATACAGTATACCCTGATGTAGTACTCAGTACTCAGTACTTATTAACTGACTCCTATGTCGAGGGTCGTCACCTGTGCTTCAGTTCTCCTCCAGGAGGACACAGCAGGAGAACCTTGTGGGAGCCAGGGTGAACCACACCATGTCAGTGTGTGTGTGTGTGTGTGTGTGTGTGTGTGTGTGTGTGTGTGTGTACATAACAGACACATTTGCGTCTCCGTTGCCAGGCCCTGATGACTGAGGCGTGGATCGTTTCTGTGCCGTCATCACTGTGACAGGTGGTGGTGGTGGGAGTGGGGCCTTGGGGGGAGGGAGGGGGGATGCAGTGAGTATGTGTGCTACTGTGTCACAGTTCTCTGTGCTGTTGATGTACCTTCACTGCACCTGTGTGTGTGTCACATGACTATGTGCTGATGTCAGTGTCAGTGGACCCTCACCCAGGTGTTTGGTGGGGGGCAGGGGGGGGGGGG